GACAAATGTAATTGTTTAGCACGTGACTTACAGTAAAAGAGCTATATTACGAGTAAAAAAATTTTGTGGGACAATGCCATGTAGAAGCTATCATAATTTTAACTGTGTACTTTATAAAACTGCACATCATGCAACTTCTTGTTTCAATTAATGAAGCTGTTGAGGAAAATTAATATGAAGAAATGAGCCGAAGTAAGTTTGGGACCCTGCTATTATGAGGATAATGTGCTTCACTTCAGATCAGGAGATTCTCGGTTCAAAGGAAATGGCTGCTTGAAACCCATCAACAGATTTCTGTTTGGTATAATAGCCTGTGTCTCTACATCCCTTACAACTATTTAATTGAAGTTAATGCAACATAAGTGCATATTAATTATATGTAAAACAATTTTGAAACTTCTAATTTTTAGAAATATTTGTATACATAGTGATTTTTAAACGTAGCGAATGGGCAGTTTATTTAAATTTAATCACACACATATATCTGGTGACCCAAAGGGATATTTTTTTAAACTTTTAATCGTTTTTAGATAATTATTTGCAATATGTTGTGTGTGTAATGTGAACATATGTTATTAAAAGACCACAGTGCTCCCAGCATGGCGAATGCTGCTTGCATATATCATGATCGAGGTGGTAAGATATTGACCACCCGTTTCTTTGCTTCGGATTACGAAAGGTTTTCAAGTACTTCTGTGTATTTCTTTTTCTTGCAGCCATTTTGGAATAAGCAGCGTGTTCCCCCTTGCAGTTTGCACACTTTCTCCGTTCTGTCGAACATGCTTCACTAGCGTGCTTCGTACTACTGCATTTATTGCAACGTGTGGCGCAGTATAGCCAAATTTGGCTCTTGCGCCATAAAACACTACATTCACTCACTCACTCACTGCATTTATTGCAGGTAGCAACGCCGCGACAAGAAGTTGTTCCATGACTGTAACTTTGACAGCGAAAACGTCTGAGAGGGTTAGGGATGTAAGGTCTTATTTTAATGTTTAAGTAACCAATTAGTATGTTTTCTGGTAATGCATGTTTAGAAAATGTGAGTATAAATAATGGAGAAGTTGCAGTTTTACCGTCTTTTATGGAAGTTATTCTTTTGACAGCCTCCACTCCCTGAGAAGCTAGCTCTTCAATTTCAGAATCGGGTAATGGTATTAGGTCAGGGCAGTAAATCACTCCTTTGGATGAATTGAGTGTTTTGTGAAGAGTAGCAGTAATAGAAATGTTGGAAAGATTTGTACATTGTAGGAGATTGATTGATTGTGTTGCTGATTCTATCAGTAAATCTCCTGATGGTAATTTTTTAATAGATTTCACAGAACGAGCTGAACCTTGTACAGCTTTAGAAATAAGAAAAAGTGAAGCATTGGAAAGTTTCCTGTTATCAGTTGCATGTAGAACAATAAATTTGGGAAAAGTTTCGGAGCAAGTTTGAGAGTTGGTGGGCTGACCACCATGTGTTGGGTAGGGTGGGTTGGGGATTTTAAAGAATGCGTTTTTATCTTTCTTTTCTTTTTACATTTAAATTTTGTTTTTTGAGGAAGGAGGAGGAGAATCCCTTTTGATTTTCAGAGGACCAGTTTGGCGGGCCTAGACCCAGATTCAGCAACCAGCAGTGGCCTTGGGAGAGCCCCCCGCTCTGTAATGCAGGACCCCATCCAGGCACTACCTGGAGCTACAAGGCAGGCGAGATTATACACCAGCTGATAGAGCAGCCAGGACATGCTGGTTAGGCTGCCCCGGGCTCCTGTACTATCTGGCGGCCTGAGACGCAAAACTAAGCTTTTATCCAGTACCTTCTACATGGTCGCTTCCTCACCTCACCCCACCTCACCAGTCCAAAGGTCCTCAGAAGTTTAAAACCCCGCTCCAAGTGCCAGTTTTCCCAGGGAGCAGAGAGAGTCTGTTGTGTCGTCATACCAGTTGTGAAAAAACCATCAGACTCAACTTCATTCCACTCAGTCCTGATCTGCCACAGGACTTCGTCGCAAGTAAAATTAAAGATAATATGTAAGGAAAAAATCCATAATAAAGCACGACCCACTAAGGGGATAAACCATAAAATGAAATTCTTGGATATGTATTCTTAGGAAATAAAAAACCAGTGTTTTTTTACTATGGTGGAAAAGAAAATGGGAGAAGTAAAGGTGAAAGTAAAGATCGCTCGGAAAAGGCGGGTGCGCGAAACCCGTACTCACAAGAAAGTGAGCCCTTGCCAAAAGATCACTAGGGCACCTCGGGATTGTGACACCCGTACTCACCTAAAGGTGAGCCCCTTGAGGGGGATTTCAACCAGAAAAAGGTTCCTGTATTCATTTTTGAATATGAGAGTAAGAAAACGCGCTCACTTTCCTGTTTTTAAAAAAGTAATGAGGTAAAAAGAGTAAAGGTCCTATTTCTCTTTTTAAACAATAAGACAATAAATGGTGCATACGGTGATATACATACAATTATTATATTTATGAAATAAAACTGATCTTTCTCTATTCAATTATATTTTTAATTTAAAATATCATAAAGGATTTCAATACTTTTAATTTATTTAAATTTTAATCATATAAATGATATTTTTATGTTAACTGAATATTTTTCGGAAAAAATCTAAATTCCTATTCGATGACAAATAAACTTAATGTTGGAATCTTTTAGAATTCCCTAATGAATGAGGGAGTCCAAACTTTTTTTTTCATGTAAACTGTTCAGACGGAAATGGTTAAATGTGAACATTTCACAAGTTGCATAAATTAAAATTAACCGTTATAGTTAACATAAATTTTTAAGAGTGCAAAAGGTGTATTTTGGCAGCACGAATTAATTTTAAAAGGAATATGGTTACGAAAAAGTACTACCAATCTATCTAAAGTAGGGTTGGTTACCTTAGATATTGTCAAACACAACAATGTATTGGAAGCCAATTCCACAATTCGTTGTTATAAAAATGTATGGAAAATTACAAGACTATTTTTATATATTTTTCCTGAGAACTTTAAAAGCTAGAGCGGCATCCATCAAAACCACGGGTCCCTCTCTGTTTTTCAGATCGCCCCTGCCTAAGCCGGCTATGTCATATTAAGTGAATTAGTCTTGTATTTTAGATGGCCGTTTTATATTTTCTACATTAATATCTTAAGGTCTGAATTTAAAATTACATAAAATTCTCGACATTCGCATCAATGAGCATTATAATTTTACAAACTTTTTATTTAACTTGCAATGTAAAATATTCGAGTGGGAATCTTGCTACTCAATTTTGGAACTGATGTCTTCAACCGAGTGAGCTGAAATTTTGTATACACGTTTAGTTTGGATGACAATGCATGTTTTGATTTATATTCCAAGATCGCAATTAGTTAAAAATATATTAATTTAAAAATTCTCACCCATGTGTTAGCAGCTTAACTTTCCTCTTTCCACAAGCCCTCGTGGCCTATAGGTTAGAGAAGCTGACTTCAGAAGAATTGCCTCTGGTTCGATTCCCAGGAGCTCGCAGTTTTTAAATTTACTTTAAATCACTTTAATTTTCATTCGAAAATTATTTCTCTTGAACAAATTTAAGAGGACTTGGTACCCCAAAAATCACAAACCTATCGTTTTTTTTCGTTTAATCTTATTCTTTGCATTATCTTTCGATTGATATATCACTTGTGCATGTCGGAAAGTTAGAAGTTGAATAAAACTTCATTTGAAATCAAATTAGGCCACGCCCCCTTTTTAGAGAAAAAAGCTAAAAAAGCATTTTGATAAAAAAAATCTAATTTATAAAGAGAAATAATAACATTAAAAAAAGAATGTGCAATATATAAAGCAAAATATTTCCGAGGTAATACATGCAATCATTTTTTTTTTTTTTTTTTTTTTTTTTTTGTGAAATGTGTGCATTTAAAATTTATAAATTAAGGCATTTTATATTAATAATTTTATAATTTCGGCTCTTAATCCTGATATATTTTTCATACAAATGTAATACTTTGATATTATAAGAAGAAAAACAGCTAAAATTTCTGCCGTGACAGAAAAAAAAATTTTTTTAACGTTTTTCTTGATTTTTCTTGTGCATTTATTTAGTACTCTCTAAAAGTTGATCATTTATAAAAATGTGTGGGTTGAAAAAATATGAAAATGCAATTATTTTAAAGAAAAACGTATAACTAATATTTTAAAGTGGTATTTTATATAAGTTTAATTAAGCTTATAATAATTATTTTTTCAGAATTATAAACTTTAAACTGGTTTTTCTTAGTTTGTGTTTTTTGAAACCGTAGTGCATTCAAAATGCTACTCCTTCGACAATTATTTACCAATCACTTCCATTTTTTTCCTGCGTGTTAAAGATAAAGCATGTAATAAAATAAGGGATCCGTTTTGCTATAAACTGAATACTTTTTTTTAAAAAAAAAAATGTAAGTCATGTTTACTTTTCCGTTGATTTTTAGCCTGTATATCAACATTTTAATTTTTTTTCTCGAAAACGAATGAAGTTATTCTAAAATCGATCCCTAAAGTTGTTTAGAACATCCATAAGAATATTATAAAAAAAATTTTTGTTCAAAAAAAAATTATTTTTTACAAAAGGAGTAGGATTTCAAAATTTTCCCAATTTTCTTCAAAAAATTTTTAATTTTTAAAATTGTGTGAATAATAGGAAAATTTTCATCTGGTATAGTTTTCTTGAATAGAAACATTGTATAAAATGCTGAAATATAATTTTTAAATACGTAAATAAAGAAATTTGCTCAAAGGGTACCAAGTCCCCTTAAATTTCCACGTTCTTTCCTTTTTTTACAAGCTTTTATTTAACTTGCAATGTAAAACGTTCGGGTGGAATCTTGCAACTCTATTTTGAAGCTGATATCTTCAGCCGATTGAGCTGAAACTTTATATGCACGTAAGGTTGGATGACAATGCATATTTTGACAATTTATATTCCCATATCGACCTAGTTACTATGCAGTTCAGGTGTGAAGGCCAGCATGTTTACAATAACACAGGTATCAACTGAAAGCGTAGCTCTGATGGTAGAGCGCTCGCTTTTCATGCGAGAGGTTCGGGGATCGATACCTTGCGCCTCCAATTATAATTTTTCGTTTCGTGTAAAATATTTGATTAATACAATGAGATATTTTACAATACTTCCTCTCTGTACAGGTATAAAGTATATTATATTTTACAAGCTTTCATTTAACTTGCAATGTAAATTGTTCGGGTGGAATCTTGCAACTCAATTTTGAAGCGGATGTCTTCAACCGATTCAGCTGAAATTTTGTATACACGTTTAGTTTGGAAGACAATGAATGTTTTGACCATTTACTCCGATATCGCATTTAATTAAAACGACTAGCTGCATGGCCCGGCGTTGCACGGGCTTTCTCTTCTTTTATAAATTTTCCCTTTCCTTCATAAAATCAGCACTTCTCTAATACTCTTTTACAAAATGAATTCTACCCCTCCCTCCTCCGCATAGCCCGATGTTGCTCGGGCCTTTGCCGAGTGTATAACTTAAAATTCCTTATTTCGAAATTTTTTCGCTCCTTTTCTTTGTCAGACAGGTTTACTTTCCCCGGCGTTGTACGAACATTTTTAAATGCATAACATTGTCATTGAAATTCCCCTGTCGCTATCAGAGCTCTCGAGTAAGTGAACATTCGCCGATTCTTAAACATCTCGTCAGGTGCAGCCCTCTAGTGGCACAAAAAGTAATGAATTATTGCACAAAAAAATTCGTAAAAAAAGTTTTCGACATTTTTTTTAAATCTGTAACTATAAAAGTCAAAGTGTGAGTTTTTAAAAATCATTTTCATATAAACGCATCGATATTTATTCGGTTGATTTGTCGAATCGGGCGCCTCTCGCGCCAAGTGTTTTCTCGCCAAATCGATAAATGCGCTAAATCTGGTAACCCTTCTGAATTCGTTTTCCAGTAAAGTCGCTTTTTTTTTTTTTTTTTTTGGCGAAATTCAGCGCATGCGCAGTAGAATTCTTTAATTTTAATAGTTTTAACGAAGTTAGCGCATTCGTAATTGGTTATTTTTTTAATTTTACCAGTTCAATTCTTCAACGGTCTTTCTCGCGCATGAGCAGAAAGCTTTTTTTCTTCAAAAAAAAACCGTTACTCAGCAAACGGTAATTTCTTTCGCTCCGGTTGTGTCAGCTGTTCGGCTTCGTTTTCTTCGATTTGGGAATTACTTTTTACATGTAATTTTTTTATTTCTTTCTTTCTCCACATAAATTTTAAGATTACCATGATGTCCAACGATGATCTTAGGATTAATTTGAATGAATGCATGAAAAATTACGATTACTATTGTTAAAGGTTTTTTTTTGCCATGTTGCCTGTGCTTGGAAAGAAAGCTGTTTTAGAATGGTGCATGCAAGGTTTGATTGGATCATCGTATGTATGTCCGAAATGTGGAAAAAGTATGGAATTGAGAGAAAGAACGGGTAAGAAAGTGAATGATCATTTTTGAATGGTACTGCAAAATTCAGTCCAGTGTGAAAGAGGATACCCATCATGTGTTTAGGAGTGTAAAGAAATGGTTTTGGTTTGAATTGAGCAATATGGATTTGTGCACCGTTTTGTTAGTGATGCTAAAATAAAAATGTTTTGGAAGGTGCTCTCAGAAATAATCAGTAGCACACTGGTATAATTTCAGTAGGCAATTCATCGTCATCATAAATGTCGGAAATAGCATTTTTTAAAGGTAAGTGGAATTATTTCCATTTTTAAATGCCTGATTTCTGCGACGATTTTCAGTTTCAAAACTTTAAAATGCTATTTTTTAATGATTTTCCTTCCTCCATCTTGAATTTCGCGCTCCGGCGTTGCGTGTTGTGGTAGGGTTGCAACTCCAAAACACAACACGCAAAAACACGCCAAATTGGCGATTTTTCAAAATTTGGCGGAAAGGCGCCCGATTCGACAATTTCACCATTTATTCATTTTAGAAAAAATCGTATGTAAAATATCGTTGTTTTGTAAAAAAAAGAAGAAAATACTGTATTGTGACGAATTAAATTTTCTCTCCAATTATAAAATTGACGGCGAAGTTTTTAAATGCACGAATAAAATTTCGAGTATTTTTTTAAAACAATCGTAAAAACTAAGCGGTGGTGTTGTTTCGTCCGGGTACAAAAGTTAATCCAGCGCTCTAGGCGTTCAATCCACGAAAATCATCGGGGAAAAAGAAAAAAAAAGACCTGTAAAATTAAAGGAAGAGATATTCAATTTCGCATTGCGTTTTTTGTTAAATTTTAAATTTTGGAGGCTTCATTTTTAAGTTAATGCCTTCAAACTTCATATATCGATTGAAAACAACGTAATTTTTTAAACAAAAAAATGTAACAAAAATAATGCTTAAATATTTCTCGCAAAAAGGAGAAAAAAAACAAACACAATTTTTAAGCAATTTTTTCAGATTACGGGTAATAACGTTCTACACGGGAAAAAAATCTCATGAGATTATTTTTAAAAATAAAGAAAAGTATTTAAATATATATAAAATCTTGAGTATTTTTTTAAAAATCGTAAAAAAAAAGTCATTTTATTTTTTAAATGACTGGTTCTAAACGAAAAAAAGCATGAATTTTATTAGTGTAAAATATCATTTCATTAAATTGAAAGAAAATTCAATCGTAACGACTTAGAAATCATTTTCATAAAAACGTATCGATTTTGACTCATTTTAGAAAAATCGTAAAAAAACTTTTGTAAAATAATATTTTCGTATCGTGGCGAAGTAAAATATCTTTCCGATTTTGTAATTTTTTTTTTCCGAGTCTCATTAAAAAATTAGTTCGTGTGTTAAAAACGTCTGGGATAAAAAAAAATGATTGGTAAATTGGAAGTTCACCGCCTGGCGGGGAAAAAAATGGCAATAATTATGCGTTTTAAGGTTTTTAATTAATATCTTTTTAACTAATTGCATTATTGGAATATAAATGGTCAAAACGGATTCCTCGGATCATTTCCCATCTTTTGGTACTTTTGGCGAGTTTCTGTGTCGTGCGGTTTGTGAGAAGATACACCTAGTCGTATAGTTGCATACGTTTGTTTACCTTCGAGTTTTAACAGTGTAGATATTAAAGTAATTTTTTCGGGGGGAATCTTGCAACTCAATTTTATAGCTGGTGTCTTCAACAGATTGAGCTGAAATTTTGAATACATGTTTAGTTTAGAGGACAATGCATGTTTTGATAATTTATATTCCGATATCGCAATTAGTTAAAAAGCTATTAATTGAAAACCTTTTACTCCTGTTAGCTACTTATTCTGCCCTGCAGCTTATCGGATTGAGCTTAAAGAAGTTCCGATTTTTCGACCTTTTTTAAAAAACCCTCTTATTCTTTCTCTCAAACTGAGACAAAAAAATAACCTAATGGGAAAGATCATTTATTTCGCCACGATACGGTATAATTTGTTAAAAAAAACGATATTTCTATTTTTTACAAAATTCAAAATCGATGAGTTTTCGTGAAAATGATTTCTAAATCGTTCCGTATGATTTTTTTTTCGTGTTAATGAATAGATATTCTGCACCAAGAAAATTCAGGCTTTTCTTTTTTAGAACCAGTCATTTAAAAAATAAAATGCCTAATTTTTTTTTTTTTTTACGATTTTTCAAAAAATACTCAAATTTTGAATAAAACATTTAAAAACTTCGTCATTTTTAAATATAATCGCACGAAAATATTTTCTTGGTTGTAGAATAGTATTATCCAAATTTTGAACATAAACTGAAAAAATTGATTTAAAATTACTTATTTGAAAAAAAATTGTGTTTTTCATTTTTAATATAGTATAAAAGCAAAAAAAAAAACAATGAGTTTTAATATTTTAATTTTTCTTCATCCAATGTTTTGATCTAACAGTGTTTATCCCCCTTCTCATTATCCTCTTGTTGCGGCCCGAGTGAAATATATACCTTATGTATGTGGCCTGGCGGGAAAAAAGTTGAGTACCCCTTAGCTGGACTGTTCAAAATTAACCGGCAAACGACCTTTCAACATTGATGCGTTGTATGAGATTAACAGACTGAGACACCTCTGTCCCCACCTATAACTAAAAAGTAAAAAATAAATTAAAAGTAGAAAAACTTTTTTTAAAATGCTCTAAAAGGAATAAAATAAACTTTTAAAACTTTTTTTGCTATCAACTAAAAAGTCATATCATAAACTAAACAGTTTATGATATAAAAGCTTGTCAAAGCTTAATATACATGGTTTATGAGGCCTGCTTGAGGACTGAGGCAAGGCCTTCTGTGAAACTTGCTGAGAAACTTTCTGTACCCGAGAGGATTCCTACTCCACCTGCTCAAAGACCTGCCGAACCTGAGAGACCACCTTTGGAGATGATGGATCCCTCTGTTTCCGTAAATACAGTGGAGGTGTGACAAGTGTACCTAAACAATTTCCCCCTAACTTCATGTCAAACGCCTGGATTTCGGAAAGAGGCGCATGGAACAACCACAGGCCAATAAAAGACTCTCCATTAAACAGGAACTCTCGGAGAATCCGGTTCAACAGACTGTTTCAAAAACATTGTTTTGTTGGTGCCCAGAAATCATCCTCTCATGAAATTGGGCAATAATGGATACATTATTCAACCCACAAATGTAAATAAAATTGGGTGTCAATAAATGATTAATTGTTCAAACATGTGTCTTTCATACCCCCATTTCATACTTGGAAGCCCATTTCTCATATTTCCTTCTCCCTTATCAGTCACTTCCTCCTTCTGTCTACTATAAAAGCAGGGCTCAGAAGCCAGTCACATCATTTTACTCTTGAGACATGGAGGCCGATTTAGCTTTCACACTGCATCTTGCCTTGTACCAAGAGGCACACCTTGGAGAATACATCACCTTTATGATGAATTTTCGGACAAATTTAAATAGTTTGAAGCCTTCCGAGGTGATTGTACTCGAAACAATCTGTTCCGTGATCATTATTGATCTGCTGATACAAGTCCTACCTGACCACGTACCTTGGTTCGAGCCTTATTCGCCCCTCAGGGGGCTCACCTTCTTTAGGTGAGTACGGGTTTCACGCTCCCAAGGTGCCCTAGTGATCTTTTC